GCACAGGGCACTGGGGGACCGCCGACAAAGTGAATTCACCTAGACTCAGAGCCACAGACAGCTTCTCCCAGGAGGGGCCTCTCTGCCTTTGAAAAGGCAATCTTTGAGGGCCAGGTGCCAGTGGCTTACGCCTGTAATCCCAGCGCTCTGAGAAGCCAAGGCAGGAGGATTATCTGAGCTTGGGAGTTCCAGACCAGCCTGAGCAAGAGCAAGACCCGTCTCTACTAAAAATAGAAAAAACTAGCAGAGGCTCTACTCCTGTGGCTCGGGGACTAGGGCGCCAGCCACATACAACAAGGCTGGTGGGTTCGAATCCAGCCCGGGGCCTGCCAGACAACAATAACAACTACAACCAAAAAATAGCCAGGCGGTGTGGCATGTGCCTGTAGTTCCAGCTACTTGGGAAGCTGAGGCAAGAGAATTGCTTAGGCCCAAGAGTTTGAGGTTGCTGTGAGCTGTGATGCCATGGCACTGTACCAAAGGTGACATAGAGAGACTGTGTCTCAAAAAAAAAAAAAAAGGGCGGCACCTGTGGCTCAGTGGGTAGGGCCATGGCCCCATATACGGAGGGTGATGCTTCAAACCCAGCCCTACCAAACTGCAACAAAAAAATAGCCAGTAGTGCCTGTAGTCCCAGCTACTCAGGAGGCTGAGGCAAGAGACTTGCCTAAGCCCAAGGAGTTGGAGGTTGCTGTGAGCTGTGATGCCCACAGCACTCTTCCGAGGGTTAATAACTGAAACTCTGTCTGAAAGAAAGAAAGAAAGAAAGAAAGAAAGAAAGAAAGAAAGAAAGAAAGAAAGAAAAGAAAAGGAAAGAAAAAGAAAAAACTAGCTAGGCATGGTGGTGGGCCCCTGTAGTCTCAACTACTCAGGAGGCTAAGGCAGGAGGATGGTTCCAGCCTGGCAATTTAAGGTTGCTCTGAGCTAGGCTGATGCCATGACACTCGAACTAAGGCAACAGAGTGAGATTCTGTCTCAAAACAAACAATAACAACAACAACAACAAAATGAAAGAAGAGATGATTTTCAACCTGTGGATGCTCTGAACATTAGCAAAGTGCTCTAAAAATAGTTCTCCCTGCAGGGATGGGCCAGGTTGCTGTGAGCTAGAGAGCCACACTTTTGGGTCAACCAGACCGTACAGCCTGACTTCTGAGTAATTGGAATCTACCTTGGAGGCCCTTCCTCATTGCTTCAGATTTAGGCTTCCTGGCCACAGTGATGTGTCGGCAGGAATTGCCTTCGCTCTGGTGCTGGAATGAAATTTGCATGGCTTTCTTGTGCCAAAGGCTCCAGTTTTGGTCCCCAGGCATCTGCTGTATGCCTCATCACTGGGGTGATGAGTGTTGTTGCTGTCATTCTGGGAGCATGATGTTTCAGGCTTAGATAGGCACTGGCATAATACTTAATTCTGCTGGCTGGTAGCCTTGGACCTTCTGGAGAAATTCCCGAAGTTGGGGAGCTATGAGGGTTAGAGAGACCTGGAGACCCTAAAAAACCTTGCCTGGGAGATGGAGTTGGCTATTTGCTAAGTATGCTCCATCAGACAGGTAGCTTTTGCATTATGGCTGATAGCTGGGGCAGATGAGGCTCAGGGGAAAAGTTAGAGAAAGGATTGACCTTTGGTTTTCAGCTAGTGTTAGTGGTTGCCACACTGCAGAGGTTGGGGAGGGAAGCTCCACACACTAGAAGCAACATCTCCGGGGCTTGAAATGGAATGGTCAGAATTTCCAGGCCTTCACCAGCAACCTGAAGTCAAAGTGGAGAGTAGGTAGAGAGAAGCATATTTGCCTCTATTTTTTTTTTTTTTTTTGGAGACATAGTCTCAAGCTGTCCCCCTGGGTAGTGTGCCATGGTGTCATAGCTCACAGCAACCACCAATTCTTGGACTCAAGTGACCCTCTTGCCTCAGTTTTTCTATTTTTAGTAGAGATGGGGTCTCACTTTTTGCTCAGGCTGGTCTTGATCTCGTGAGCTCAAGCAATCCACCCACCTTGGCCTCCTACAGTGCTAGGATTACAGGCGTGAGCCACCACACCCAGCCATATTTGCCTCTAAATGCTTGTCTATTCTTCAAGCTAACTCCATTTCTCTCTCATTCTTCATTCTCTCCTCTATGTAATTCTCTGTGCCTTTTCTCCCTCAGCTTAGAAAACCTGAGGGAGTTTAGGGCCATAAGCCCTACATTTTCCAACAGGAGACAGAAACTCAGTCACTTTCCCCTCTCTCTGGAAGCCTGTGATAGAGAAGTTTCTGGTTTGCATGAATGGTCCTTGAGGGCCTTGAGGCTTTGCTTTCTATTTCCTTACCCTCTGCAGTCATGGCTTCAAAAGAGAGATGCTGGGGTTCCTAGGACCAGAGCTGAAGTGGAGGTAACCTCTCATGGCCTTTCAGAGGAGGCTGGGCCCCTGGCGGATAGGCCTGTCTACAGGACTGCTGCTCTGCAGCTGGAGGACCCTTGTGTAAGGATGGCTTTTATAGTGAAATAACAGAAAAGTTATGAACTCAGTTTTCAGTAAGGAATAATCATTCTTTCTCTTTTGCTAGCAGTCTCCTTCCCCCCATTTTTGTTTTCACAAAACACTGAGGAACCCAGCAGACCAAAAGGAAACATAAATTTTCTTTATAATCACTAGATTTATTAACTAAATGTGCCTTTTCAAATTTGTTCCTATGGCTCCTAAGGAACAATGGGTGTGTGAACATCAGGCCTTAGGATCAGAAACACCTGGAAAGAAGTCTGTCTTCAACCTTGGCAGGGGAAAAAACAGAGCATTCACATACACAATACCCTGTGAATTTGGCTGCAATTATTTTTTGCTCCTCCTTAAATTTAGCTAACTGTGTGACCTCAACTGCAGCATTCTTCCTTTTCTTTCTTTCTTTTCTTTTCTTTCTTCTTCTTCTTTTTTTTTTTTTTTTTTTTTT